TCAGATGTGTTGGGATCTGGGAAACGAGCAAAAACATGTCTCTCTGGGGCTCCTTGAGGACTGGTTTGAGAAACACTGGCCTAATTCACTTAGATCGATCAATATTCCAGACCACATATTTGCCACTGGGGAGGGGTACTTCCGGACAGCCTCTGATCAACTGTGATATACAAAAAAAAAGCACATCCATCAGTCACATGTGAAATGGATTCAGTCATCAGAAAAGTTGCTCCTCCCATTGATGTTGCGCCAGTCCACCAGTCCACTTGGAGAATCACTACAAAATAATCGTGGACAGTTAAACGGGTACTTTTGGAGGTCAGGAGAAAGGAGTAGAAAGGCTAGGGGCAGTGAGCTACACACACACAGTGTCGACTGGCATATTTGGACAACAAAGTGTCGCGTCTCTTCATCAGGTCCGAAGAGAACTGAGGGGGTGGAACGAGGTCTTGGCTTCATAGTTGTGAGAAACACAGACCCCACATCCTAGATCTGAAAAGTAAAAGTTAAATCAAGCCAACATTTCAGTCAAGTGTGAACTCTAACTTCTGACTCAGATAAATATAAAAAGGTTTGATTGTGCTCAGATTTCAGAAGAATAGTGACAGTAGGCTTTCTCCCAGTTTCAAATTTAGAGAAGAAAATCGGAAAATCAAAACTCTTCATGGCATGGCTGACAAGGGAAGAGGAGGGGTGGGAGTGCCCCCCCTCACTGCGGCTGATGCTGCTGGTGGTCCTTGGTGGGGGCGTAGTACAATTCCAGCGGCTTGCTGACCTTCCAATACTTCTCGTTCACCAACTCCAGCGTGAGGGAACCATTCAGTATCTGAGAGAAAGCAGAAAAGAACAGAATTAAGAGTCACAGAAAACACAGGATATAAGATGGTGTTTCCCCACCTGGACCCCCAGGAGCTGGGAAGGAGCAATAATATGGATTGTCTCAGGGTCCCTGAGGACCGGGTTGGGAAACGGGCTTAGAGAACGAGTCTTTACAAACGCAACCAATGATTAAATTTAAAGGTTGCAATGACTGCCACTCCAGACTAACTAAACTCTTCTGGCCAGTAGGGAGCTGAGGGGGAGCAAAAACGTGGACTGTCTCAGGGTCCCTGAGGACCGGGTTGGGAAACACTGACATAAGATGCATGATAGATGAGTGAAGGCGGGAGATGGCTTTCAATGGCTTCCTGCACCGTATTCATGCAGCCCCACTCACTGAAAACTGTCCGCCAGACGTGGTGATGTAGATGGTGTACTGTTTTTCACTGACATCCTGTAGACTGGCCCCTCCCCCTCCTCCTGCCCCGCCCCCTTCATCTCCCGCCGCCGACTCCCCGGCCGCTGGCCTCTCCGGCTGTCGCTTGGCCTGCCGCTCCTCCAGGGCGATGCGCAGGGCCAAGTATTTGGAAAGGTGGTCCACCGTAGCATTAGCTGTCGTTTTCACATATCTGTAGGTATGAAGGAACTACTGACATACACAAACACTTTATATTTACATGTATAGTATTCCTTAAAATTAAGGATAAGAGATGTATCTGTCAGCTACAGTCCCAAAAGTACAGTCAATACAGGAAGTTATTGAAGAGCCAAAATATCAGAGATGCGGAAGCAATGCAAAAAGGTGACATGCCTTTAAACAAATTTACACTTTATCTTTTGATCTATTTAATGTGTTCTTTAGTCCATATTACAGGTATATTTTTGGCATATGTGTTTTTGCTATCAGGTGCTTTTAATAAAATGGGAAGGTACATCCAACCTACGCAAAATATGATTTATGTAAGGGTTCGTAAAACGGATTACTTACATCAGTTGAGAGCTGCCTGTATATCTAAACCTGGGATTAAATAAAGAGAACTGTATCTGAAAGGTTTATTAAGGCTAACCTTTATTTGTGTCAAATTCACCCAAGATAATGATTTATATTTAAATGACACCAAACTATCCGATTTCTGAATCCAAAAGCCGTCCACACCGTTTCTTTCCAGTGTGAGGCAGACTCACCCCACTCACCTGGTCTGGCTGTACTCCTGGGTGTTGACCAGTAGGGGGTGCGGGCGAAACACCAGCTCGATCTCAGAGGCCGGTCCATCATGGTGGTGTGACAGCGGTGGTGTGGGACTGCCCCGGTCCATCTCAGGACAAGACTCGTCGGACAGGCGGGGGCGCTTGTTTTGGCTAGGCCCCGCCTCCGTTGGTGGGAGGGCGGGGTGCATTGGCACAGAGTCGTGGGAGCGAGCGTCACAGTTGTCCTCGCCGCCGCTGAACGTGGTGTTGTCGCTCTCCTGCTGCTGCTTTCGAACCCTTTGCGCTCTGAGTGGGGGGTGGGGGGGTTAAGCAGAGTCACAAACAGCTCGGGTTTGAGGTGGGACTCTTTACTTACAGTATCTATGCAGTACCTTACAGTACCTATTGCCTCTAGACTGCAGATACCACATCACAATGTCTGTCTGTCAATAAGTTCAAAATTTCAACTGCATTTTTGTTGTTTGACATTTAAATTTGGCACAGCACGGTGGTGCTCTGGTTTCCCCCCACAGTCCAAAGACATGCTGAGGCTAATTGGTTAAAGTTACCGAGTGAATGGTGTGTGAGTGTGCCTACAATGGGCTGGCCCCCCATCCTTGTTTGCAGTCACATGTGTGACACAACTCTAGTACCTTGCTTCTATCAAGATTATGAATCAGACTGTGATGGGCAGAATGACTGAAGTGCCCTTTCCACTTGTTCACTGCTTGGAGACAGTGTACGGCCCTTTAAGCTGATGCAAGAGACATTCTGTTACGGAATGAGTTTGGTGCAACAATGTAATTCCATCCTGCTGACCCACTGAACTGCCCCCGTATGGCACACATACCTGTGGAGGGCTTGCATCTTGAGGCCTTCTTCTATGCTGGAGCTCAGTGCCTGTTTGTTGTGCAGTCGGCTGAGGCGCTCCAACACGCGGTCCTGGTGGGCCTCGTATTCGTCCCGGCTGGGGTAGATCTTGGAAATTAGTGCGTCGAAATTCGGGTCGGGCCGCAGCGAGCGCTTCGAAACCAGCTTCTTGCGACAGGTGGGGCATTCTTTGTTGCTGGTGGGGGGGCACAAACAAAGGTGGTGGTGGGGGGTCTATTGAAAGCACTGTGTATAAATTGGTCATGATATAGATCTCCCTGAAAGTTCAACTAAAGCACAAAAACACTACAAGACCAAAAAGCGCAAAAATGGATTTGGCCATTAAGACCCCCCCCCCACTCCCGCAACCACAAGCATGCACAAGCTCAAGAGCATGAAAACACAAGCTGGCCGGAGTCTGAGGATACCCCGATCGCAGGGCGGTGACGATGCATTCGGAGCAGAATCGGTGCAGACACTCCTTGGTGGTCATGGTGTTCTTCAGCATGTCCAGGCAGATGGGGCACATCAGCTCGCTGTGGAGGCTCCGAGGGGACACCGCGATCTCCGTGCTGTCCATGATCGCTTCCTGTGGCACACAGCCGTTAATTGATTGAAGGACCTTCGTGTTCTTCACCAGAAAATTAAAAAGTGGCTGCACTGCGAATCCACAGCCTCAGAAATGTCTCACTTACCTTCATCTACACCCTGGTACAACAGTAGCAAATTACCATTAAAAGATGGTCATTAGCTGCCAATTCAAGCAAAAATCACACCTGTCCATCTATGTATGTCAGACTACTAGAAGCACTACTACAATAACCTCACATTGTCCCCAAACCCCTCATGGATAGACTATGCCCACCGGTTTGACACCCACCTGTGGCGTTCTGTGTAGCTCGTATAAGCTGAGTTCCCATGTTTTGCTGGGGTTCTGTGCGTTGACTGGCGTGGCCATTGTGTCTTAGTGTCCTGGGTTAAAAAGGAAGAGGGGTACCAGGATTACATTTCGATATGGTCAACAGCAAGAATATCTTCTCCCATGATATCACTCCGTAAACATTCCAGTATGGTTTAACAGTGCCCTGATGTCACATATTTTGTCGTCTATTTTAATTTGTCAGATTTTTAAATATCCTGGGCCACTCCAGGCGTCTTAGACGTTTAAGTGCTAAAATAACCACATTGATCATAAAATGTTAAGAAGCCCTGTTAGACATGGGCTTTAAATTGGAGTTATATCCTCCTGAGACACCACCCATTCATTTATGTCCATTGTAGTGGACATTT